CCCCCTTAGCGATGTGAACAAAGTAATTATCATAGCATTACACTTATTCTTGCTAATCATTGGACAATCATGTGCGTAGAAAACTTGTTAGCCCTTTGAAGTAATCAATAATGAGTAAGTTATAGGCAATTAAACTACTATTTTTAAATAGATTAATTAAGGTGTTTCAATGTACTTTAGTTTCTTTGTATTTTACCCAATTTATGGCACTTCACAACATCCATTATGCTTTCTATCAACTTCATAACTTAGATAAAAAGCATAATGCTAAAGATTTGACCTTTAAAAGCCATATTGTAAATCATTCAAGGTATCAAGATTTGTGTAATGGGTGTTAGAGAGATTAATATTAAAGAAGTTCATAAAGGAACTGTTTGGTTTGATGAAAAGTAAGCATTTCAAAAGCAGAGGTTTTATAAGCTTTGGTAGTAGTTTGATGAAAAAAGGAATGTAGAGTAAAGTTTTGGTGAATTTCAAATTCACTCAGGGGATGTTTAACAACTCAAACTTTTAACTATCGAGATATTTTTCACTTTGGCCAAAGGACCTTACGGTTTTGTCCTATTGATGTAACTTTCTAGGAGGTAACATATCCTAAGATTTCTCTGAGATGAGCACTCTTAACTACATAGTTTCTTAAATGAAATTTCAACCATTACACCAAAAGGCTCCTCGATATTTAAGAGTTCAACTTCTTTTTACTTAAAGGATTTCACAATCTCCCTCACTTAAATAACTGATGTTCTTGTTAGTTTCTTTATTTCAAAATCATCATCCAGGCGTATATGATTCTAGAGGTGGCTCCTATAAGTTCAAGTGGTGACTTCTGCTACATAACACTTTGTTCCATACAGGATTCAAGAGGTGTCTCTCATGACATAGCACTTTGTCTTGTATTACTCATAGTTTTTATCTTATGTATTGCTCTGTTACCATTTATAATAGCCCAAACTCTTGACTATGAAAATATTATCTACTTTGGCATAAGGGTATCATAGTTTTGTCCTATTAGTATAACTTCCTAAGCGGTTACACATCTCAGGATCTCTTCAGGATAAACATGCATAACTGTAGAGGTTTGAATCCCCTTAAGTAAAAATAAGTTAAACTTTTAAATATTGAGGTGCATTTTGGTGTAATGGTTGGAATTTCATTAAAGAAACTCCGCTAAGTTAAACTTTTAAATATTAAGGTGCCTTTTGGTGTAATGGTTGAAATTTCATTAAAGAAACTCCGCAATTAAGCATGCTTATCCCGGAGAAATCCTAGGATTGATAATATCCTAGGAAGTTACACCAACAGGATAAAATTATGAGGCCCTTAGGCCAAAGAGGATAATATCTCGATAGTTAAGAGTTTGAGGTTTTACAGGATGTTTGGTTGGCAAGGAATACAATGAAAGAAAATACAATATAAAATGAATGTAGTGTAAAAAAATACATTGGAGTTATTTGGATGACTATAAAGTAAATGCATGCTAATATTTTTTTTATTGAAGTAAAATGAATGTAGTGTAAAGTTCAAAGATGGTGGAGGTTGGTGGCGGTGCTAGTGGTGGTTGATGGGTCGCGACGGTCGATGGTGGTGGTAGCCACTAGCATGTGACGGTGGCTGCGATGGGTATTAGCAGTGGTCAAGCAAGTTGGTTGTGATGTAAATAGTTCTGCTCAAAATTGATGGAATCGCTCCTGACGCTCCTCTACCCTAAATAGCGATTCATTAATGTTCGAGTGTTCGCCTGTTTCCCTACTCGCTCGATGACCAAAGCATCCCAACTGCGGTGAACTCTTCCCGTCCTCCGACCATCCCATCCGCGGCGAACTCCTCCGACCATCTCAGCCGCTGGCTTACCGTGAGATTTAAATTTGTTTTTTTTTTTTAACATTTTTTTCACTCTTTGAATTTGTTGGATGACTTCCTTTCTTAATAACAATAGCACGATCATCCAAGCCGCCAGCAAACTCCTCTGACGCTCCTAGCCGCTGGTTTACCGTGAGATTTTACTTATTTTTTTTTCTTTTTGGATCTTCCTACATTCAAATCTAAATGCTTCTTCGAATTTGTTTTCCTATTTTAGTTTTTCTTTCATTGGATTTCCATGTTATCTAATGATATTTTTCTAAACATATTTTATAGTTTAACAAAATGCCCATGTGATTTAGCCATTAAATTAAGTATAATTAGAGCATAATCCTCATAATTCATCTTAATCCCAAGGTTTTCTAAACTTTGTTGTGTATCCGATTTGCAATTTTTTTTAGTCTTTTACATTTGCTCATAGCCAACTCTATCATTTTGGCATGTCTACATTCAAAGAACTCAACAAATTTCTTTCTCAATCAAAAACTTTTGCTTCTTTCATGAACAAGAGATTTGACAAAAGTTTTTTTTTTCTTTTGCTTCATTCAAAGAATCCCAGGTTTTGGAATGCTTCTGGCAAAATCGAGCAACACTGCAAAAATCCAAATCGCATTATAGAAGGTTTCTTCCTCAAAACCCAACACTTGACAAAAGGTATGCATTCAAAAATTTCTTATTTGGTTAGTTATTCACTTATTTATGAAATATTTGCTTATATTTTATTGACTTATTTAATGCCACATTTATATTGTGTGTTATTTTTTATGTTTTATAAATTTAATTGATGCAATACTTATGTTATTTTATGAGTTGAATATGAAAATGAAATGTAGCTAGAGTGAAGTTATTAGAGGAAAATGTCTAATTCATTTTATAAATTTTATAAAATTAATATATTATTATTTATTACATCATCCGGTTCGAACCGGTCGAACCGTGAACCTCTCCTTCTTCGAGTTCATTGTCCAGTCCGGTTTTCAAAACCTTGCCTATTAGTATTACTTTCTTAGAGGTCACACATCTATGTTTTTTTTCAGGATGAGCATGCTTAGCTGCAGAAATTTGAATCTCCTTAAGTAAAAATAAGTTAAAATTTTAAATATCGAGGTGCCTTTTGGTGTAATGGTTGTAATTTCATTAAAGAAACTCCGCAGTTAAGTATGCTCATTCCAAAGAAATCCAGGATGGAAAATCTCCTAGGAAGTTACACCAACAGGATAAAATTATGAGGTCCTTAGGCCAAAGCGGATAATATCTCAAGAGTTAAGAGTTTGGGCTTTTATAGGATGTTTGGTTGGCAAGGAATACAATGTAAAAAATACAGTGTAAAATGAATGTAGTGTAAAAAAATACTTTGTAGTTGTTTGGATGAATCTAAAGTAAATGCATGTTAATATTTTTTTTAAGTAAAATGAATGTAGTGTAAAGTCCAAAGATGGCAGAGCTTGGTGGCGGCGCTAGTGCATGGTGGTTGATGGGTCGCAACAGTCAATGGTGATGGTCGATGGTAGTGGTGGTTGTGGTGGTGGCCAGTAGCATGTGATTGTGGCTGGTGATGGGTGTTAGAGGTGGTCAAGCGAGTTTGCTTGTGGTGTAAATAGTTATGCTCAAAATTGAGCGAGTTTAGTCTATTTCAAAAATGAACTAAAAAGGTTTACACTATACTTTGCATTCTTTTTTCATCCAACCAAACACCAATGTTTTCAAAACCCTTACATTTCGAGTACTTTACATCTACTTTACTTCCAACCAAAATATACCCTTTGTAGGGTTTCATTGTTTTAATGTATTTTAAACTCATATATTCTTGGTCAAATTCTAAAATACATCACAAGCTGATTCCACCATCACCTAGCGTTGATTGCCTGCTCATAATTGACTAGTTGGTATCACTACCATCGTAGCATATAATTGTTGTTTAGTACTACAAGGTAAACTTGAATTATGGACGTCAACCTTAGAGCCTAAAGAATTTCGTTTGAGTAGATTTAAAATCGAATTCATAGAGTATAATTTTAGTGTTAATAGATCTAGTGGGGGAATTATAGCTTTGGGCGATCAAGTCACTAACAAAAGTACATATTTTAGATGCTTGGATATATTGTTCAGAGTGATGATAAAATAAATGGGGATATTTTTAATAGAATTCAAGTTGGATGGTTGAAGTGGAGGAATGTATCAGGCTTGTTATGTGATAGAAAAGGACTCCTCAAACCGAAGAGAAAATTTTATAAGATAGTTGTGAGACCTATAATGCTCTATCACATATAATGTTGGCCATTAAAAGATAAGTATAAAATTAAGTTTAGTTTTGCAGAGATGAGGATGCTCATGTGGATGAGTGGTTTTGCTCTTTAAAGACAAAATGTAAAACGAGCATATATGTGAAAATGTTGGGATAGCTCCAATGGTAGACAAGATTAGTGGGAGTCTTCTTAGATAGTTTGGTCATGTAAAACATCGTCCTTCCAATGACAAGGTTAGAAAAGTATATGTATTATATTTGACTTATATTATGAAAGGTAGAGATAAGCCTAAAAAATTTTAATTAGAAAATATTAGAAATGCATTTTTTATTAGATTTAAATGAAAATTTAACTCTTAATAAGACACAATGAAGAAAAAAAGATTCATGTAGCTAATCCCATGAGGTGGGATTGTAGCTAATCCCATGTGGTGGGATAAAGACTTGATGATGTTGTTGTAGTATAAAAATTCTGCGATATATATAAATCCCCTTATTTTCTAATATATTTTTATATAAAAAATTTGATAAAAGAAAGGTGATTTATATACATATTATAAATTTTTTATATATTTATATATTGAATGCTTAAATCTTTATAATATTTTATAACACTTAAATCTCTAAATTATATTAAAAAATTCTAACATTAATTTACTTAAAATAAAAAAAAATATATTTTCAATAATTGAATTATTCAAAATACATATAACTAAATATAAATATTTAAATATTAAATATATAAATAAATTTACAAAAAATTTATTGTATGCATGTAAATTCCTTAAAAAAATAATGAATATTAATTATAATTACTAATTAGTGAAAATTTTGGTCTCGTGGCCTAGAGTTTGTCATCACGTGATATCAAGAGCCGCGCGGGAAAACAAGCAGCGCGATTGCGAAGGGAAGAATGGCAGCAAAAACCTCGACGGTGATACTTCTTGTGAAGTAATGCAAAGAAACTCTGAAAAGAAGGAAAAATCCCAGAAATGGAAGATAGTTCAACGCCAAGGCGAGATTTTCCGGCATTCCCATTTGAGCCCTACTCGATCCAGATAGATTTTATGTCATTCCTTTACAAGTCGCTCGACAGAGGAGGCGTCGCCATGCTCGAGAGCCCCACAGGTACTTTCCTCTTCGTTCTTGGGTTCATTCGTATCCATGACAACCTATCGCGCTCAACGAGTTTCTATTTGGTTTCCAACATCACCGCGGCAGGGACGGGCAAAACTCTAAGCATCATTTGCAGCGCGCTCCAATGGCTCGTTGATCGCCGAAAGCAGCAGCAGCAATGGAAGAAGACAACGGAAACTCCAGATATTGGTTATGGCGATGAGGAGCCCGATTGGATGAGAGATTTCGTCGTTGCAGATGGTCAACAGAAGGAAGAGAAGCGAGGGAAGCGATTAGGGTTTGGAGACTGGGATGCGGAAAAGAAAGCCCCCTTTTCAACGATCGAGAGCGAGGGTAAAAGGCCAGAGGGTCTCACTGGAGATGATGATGTGGAGTTTTTGTTGGATGATTACGAGAGTGAAGAGGATGGTTGGGACAATGGCGGTAGAGGATCGAAGAGGAAAGGCAGGAGATGTTTGGATTCCAGCAGTAGTGATGAAGATGTTGAGGAGGATCAAGAGATCTCCCCCAAGGTATATTTCACGAGCAGGACCCATTCTCAATTGTCACAGTTTGTAAAAGAGTTTAAGAGGACAGTCTTTGCTTCAGAGCTCAATCTCATCTGCCTGGGCTCCAGGAAGAATCTTTGCGTCAATCCCGGTGAGTGGTGCTGTTATCTTCTATGATTTTTGAGGTTGGCTAAAGTTTGGGACTTATTTGTGACATTTTTAGACGTTCTGAAGCTAGGGAGTGCGAACCGGATTAATGAGCGCTGCTTGGAGCTGCAGAGAAATCGTAGCAACTCCAAAAGCAAGGTTGATTTTATTTATTGTTGAAAAATTTATTTATTTATTTTTTTTTCTGGTGAAGTTTTAACCTTTTCGTTTACTTTTCTTTATATCCCATGCTTTCAAATCCAACCAAACCCATTAAATTCAGGCATGATCTTTTCAAGCAAAGGCCGATTGATGGGTCATAGAGGCATTGGCGATGCACATGGCTTCAACTTGGGCATGCTTGGAGGCAACCCATAGTCAACAGGACCTTATTTCCTAAAGTAGTCAAACCTAGCACAAGTTGCCATTTTCCGGCCCAACTATGGTTGGAATTAGCTCAGCTTTTGGTCTGTTAGAATTGGATTACACAAGATTTTCTTTAATAATTTTGATTGAAAAGCGGCGTATTTCTGACTATTGTTATTGTTCAAAAGAGAACGTAAGGATAATGAAAAAAAAGAGAAGACTGGCAGTCAGCTGTGTCATGCTAGGGAGGGGATGAGGGAAAAATTTTGTCAAGATATCAAGAGATTATTATGTGCGGACACCGGACGGGAACAACCGTCCTATTTTGTCTCTGTGAGCAGTAACAACTCATTATGAACAGTAAAAGCGCAGTGAGCTACGCTTTTACTATTCACAGAGACAAACTGGATGATTCTCCCGTCCAATGTCCGCACAAAATAATTCATCAAAGACATCCTAGTTAAAAAATGAACTTTAAAGCCCTTGAATTTATTTAGTGATGAGTACAACACCTAAATAAATTAAATTGTTCCCATCTCAAAATAAATTCCGAGACTTTAAAGCCCATCTTGATAAAAAAATTTGTTCAAATATCTTGACCCAATTTTTCTTCTTGAGAGTAAGGAGAAGAGAGTATTAAACCAAGCAGGGTTCTTTAGGTGAGGAGAAAACTTTGCGACTGACAGTGAAGGAAGAGATAAATGGGAATTGTACAATTTTGAAGCAGATTAGAAGAAAGGGGGTAGATGTGGTGTTGGTTAAAGTGTATTGCCACTGCCAGCGTTAGAATATTAGTCCTGATTGTGTTGGTTAAAGAGTGTTGCTGCTGCTCCCGTAAGAGGATTAGTGCGTGGAAATATGAATAAGGATAATATTTCCTCCTTTCCTCAAATCTTTGCTGCCCGCCTTTGATATTGTGTGATTTTAAACTAAAACAATGAATAAATTCACTGTTTGATACAAAACAGAGAGCAAGCAACAAACTACATTCTTGGATCCTTCTTTGATGGCTGTAGGCTGTGGCTGTACCCTCAAACGGTGCTTTTTTTTTTCTGCGATGGTAGCATCCCGTACATGGAAACAATAAGAGAGAATGAGAGGTGGTTGATGGTCCTTTGCACTTGGGAATAGGAGGCTAGGAGCTGGGGGGTATTAAGAGAGAGGAAAGAAACTTAAGAGAGTTGAAAGCAATATTTTTGGTACATTGATTGATGAAAATAACACATACAAAGTGTTAGATGCAAAATATTAAGCAAAGTAAAAACCTAAATAATGTATTTAAATAAACAAATCAACCCATCTAATCATTCAAGATAAACTATTTAATAAAATAAGTTTTTATCTAAATGCTTTCCATAATTTATTTAAATGATTGAATGAAAATTTGCTAAGAACATTTTCCTTGTGATGGGTGGCTAAGAGTGAGATGGGAATTTTCTTGGAGTGGAATGTGGAGCTTTCTATTATTCCTCTTTTTGGTGGTCAACCCTCCACTTTAAGTGATTTTGTTGTAGTTTTGAATTCTTTTTTTATCTCTTTCTGTGTGGTTCTTTGAATATTTCCATGAATTCAGACTTGATCTACAAAATATGACCTCTTTTGTTCCTTTTTCCTTGTAAACCCTTAAGGTGAAATTTTTAGAAATTGTTGTAAAGGATTCTTGGAAATATTTTTTTTTTTTACTTTTGGCATCCGTTGAACACCCTTTGGAAGATCTTGGATTCTAGAAAATTTCAAGAATATATCATGAGTTCTAAATTTATGAGTGCCTTTTTCTTTAATGAATAAATAGAATGTCCTAGGTTAAGATCCTTAGGTATCACGACATTGTGCAATGACTCATGGATGGTTGCTTTGAGTTCACAATTATGAAGAACATGCTATAATCCATGCCCTTACTCCTAGAGAAGGACAATGAGTATGTCACTATTAGGGAGTTCATAAAGGGCTCCTTGACCTATGCAATGGAAATGAGGATGAATTCGACCATCAATAATAACATGTAGTAACACAATGTGATCTCTTATAGTTTCGTTGGTAAGCGCGGTCCGTAGCTCTTTCCCTGTTTGAGACGGAAGTTGGCAAGAGATAACAGTGATGCCAAACTATACATTGATCTTACCGCTATTTTGTAGAACATTCGTGTCAGCAACAATATTTGTAATGATGTGGTGGTAGTGAAAATGCAATTGAGTAGATTTAAGATTTATCAAATCCTCATTGACTTCATGAATTTCATACTCTTCACCCATGATTTGGAGATACTTGGTGCTAGCCTAAAGAACCTCAAGCTTATGAAGGTGTCACATATTAGGTTGTCAGGGGCCTTCGATGCAACAATTGCTTTCATTAGACCAAACAAGATAACATTATGGTCTTGCAAACCTTGTCATCATACATTGCAATCTTTAACTGATCTTTTGTCACAACCTGACCTGATACCCACAGGTTATATCGTGTTTGATTGTGATAAGAATAAAAAATTAACCCCAAGACCTAGTTGGAGTACTAAGAAAAAAAAAAAAAAACTAAACTTTAAATTTTATAGTTTATACACTCCACATAGCCACTATTGAATACAATATAAAGTGAAAGATTGAATCTCAAAAATAATTTTTCTATTATCATCAAAAAATACATATACAATCCGAGGTATATCTACAACAACGTTTGACAATAGAGAATACAACAAACATAAAAGCCAAGCCTATACAAAAACCAACTAAAACATACTTACAACATAGATTAGAGTCTGATACCAAAACTATTCGGCTCGCTCCTTACCCTTCCCCATACCTGAAAACATAAACAAAAGCAATAATGAGTTACACGGCTTAGCAGGCTATCATAACCTAAAATAGAAATCAATAGCGTAAACCAAAAGGAATGAAAATATTGTGCTATAATGACAAACTGAAGTAATGTATGAAAAACTGAAATTGAAACAAATATTAATACTAAATGCATTTAAATAGTTACTCAAATTGTACTGAAACTGATTGAAATATAAACAAATATCTTATAGCAAATTTCATATTTGCCCTTGGGCTCAAAATTCTTTTAATTATTAAATGGTTAGCATAATCCCTTCTCGCCGTCAATAGAATCCCTTTTCTTTGACAACCAAATCCTTTTTTAGGGAATATTAGAATAAACATTCGGCCTCAAAATCACAATAGCCCTTTATGCTCAAAATTCTCATGTATATATTAGTTAACAAAATTCTTTCTCATTGCCAAATTTCTTATTTTATAGTTAACATAATCCCTTTTTTTCGCAAACATATTTTCAAAATTTATTTAATATTGATATATTTTAATGTATTATATTAAATAAAGTATAATTGAACTCAATTCAAGATTTGCCAAAATGCCTTAACAACATGTAACAAAAAATACAATTGAGTACAAATTCACATTTTCAGAAATTAACCATATTATCAGAGATCGTGTCTAACAACATTCTGAATCTTTTTTTTTTATTCTAGTTAAACAACATTCTGAATCTTTAATTGAACTAAAACACTATTTTTAGATGTCAAATAAATTTCTAAATTGATAAAAACTGCTGCTTTTAAAATTTACCTAGTAGAAAATCACAAATAAATACTCAAAATAACTAGAATAGTCATATTGATAACATATCAAAAGTTACATGGACAAAAGTTATTAGAATTTGATAAAATTGCATTTTTGTAAAACTAAATTATACATTTAACTGAAAAATCCCAAAAGCATTGAATTATTGAAATATGAGAGACAAAATGTAACCTATCTCGATTCGAGCAACTTTCAGAATTGGAACAGCGGTTAAAAAAGCCTGAAGCGACTCAACCGAACTTCCTCTCTCTATAAAACCCTCTTTCTTTTACTAACTCAGCTGCCCAAGAAATAGAACGGAAGGGAATAATGGATTTGGATATTTTTAATGTTAAAATTTGTTCTAGCGTTGCGGCGCCACACGACACTCCTTACAGAATTAACAGCATCACCTCCCACGCCAAGCATTGGAGTGCTATATTAAATGCACACTTTCTTGAAACTTTAGTGCTAGAGCGCCAAAAACACAACATTAGGCGCTATAGGAAAAATTCCAAAATTTTTTAATATGTATTTAAATCCCGGAAATCCACTACATAACACATGCATACCTTAGTCTTAGGACTAAAGGAGTCATGCAATCTAGATTTTAACCTTAATGACGTTTGATTGTCTGACACTTGAACTAGCGAACAAAATTGATAAGGCTTAAAGTCAAATATTTGGGTGACAATAATAGCATTTTGATAGGTAAATCCTTGTCCAAATTTGTCAGTGTTTTATTAAGTAACATTTATGTTTTTTGCATGGGATATTTGTTGTGATGGATTTGAATAACTAGTGTCACTAAGTGAATATTCGAGCATATTATAAACTTGCCAACCAAGGAAAGCTAAAGATGTTGGAGGAGATTGATGAGGCCATCAAATAAGACTCTAACAAACTTTTTGAGACCGATTTCATTTAGAAGTTCTAGTATGTAGGTTAGGTCTCCAACATCATTATGGATAGAAAAAGTAATGATGAGGGGAGGATGTGTGTTAACTTCACCAACCTCAACCATATGTTTCCTGAGGATGATTACCTTTTGCTAGCTATTATTGTTCTTATTGACTAAAAAATGGGGTACACGTTCATGATTTTTATTGAAGCCTTCTGCCACCATCAAACCAGTATGCATTTAGATCAAGAAGACAAAAATTAGCTTTATCATGAATGAAGACCTATTTTGCTTTTGAGTCATATCATTATGGGCTCCAAAAATTCACGCCTTGGCCTCTCTGCGCTTACTTTTATTTACGGGGAGAGTTTTAACGAGTTTAGGTTCTAAGGTAAATTTTTAGAAGTTAGATTGGGTTTTAGATAAGACATTACCCAAAGATTTCGTTGTCATTTTACGAGGACTTTATTATATGAGCTTTGGTTTCCAATAGACGTAAGCCCCTATGATTAATTACCTTTCCTGATAATGAGAGAGAAATTTCAATTAAGGCTAGTCGTTAAATAGGTTGCAATAATTACCTAATGTATAATAACAGTAATTTTAAGGTTTGAATTTTATTTTGGATTTTAGAGTTTATGATTTGAATTTATCACTATATACTTAAAACAAGTAATGAGGGGAATGAAGATGGGCCCGATCAAGATCCCATGGTTCCGTAGTCCCAGGCTGTTATGGTCTTTGGTCTACTTAGTCATAGGAGGTAGTTGACCCAACTTGACAGAAGGAACATTGTCAGTAGCCATGAGTTGCTTCGTCCAAGGATACCTTGTAGACTTGGGGTGGATGTTTGCCTAGGCCTAAGGTAATGAATTTAAGTTAACCTTAGCTAATAGAGGACTTTATATCTTATAAAGCGTACACTATAAATCATTACTCAAAGATCTTTTAACCATTAAGAAATATACGAGCTTTGGCCATGACCATAATATGGTGGTGTCATTTTGCAGCAAAACCACCCGGTCAGAGGGCATGTGCCACATCTTTATTGACGATGAATCAACTGAGAGTGAATTATAGTAATACATTCCACAAAACATTTGCTCTTTTTGAGCTGAAGTTATTCTTCAATTCATCATCCTTGCCAAATCGCTACTAAGACTTTGAATTAAGGGTTTTAGGTTGCATATAAAAATTGTTATTTTAAGTTTACTAATACGAACTCACAAACAACAATAAAAGAAAGACCTAGTGATTCAATTCTAATTTGCCTACAATATATTAAAGATTTAGTGCAATAACTATTGAGAAAAATAAGAGCTAGTATGAATCTTTAACTACAATTCATTTAAATAGTAGCAACTAATTAATTATTCTACAATTAATTAGTGAAGCATTTGCACTAAATGATAAAAGAATCACTAATATTTTGGTGATCATGTCAGTTGAATTCTTGTATGTATGAACTTTCTGAACTTCCACTGTGCCTTGAGCTAGAATATCCTTGATAAAATACAATCTGATATAAATGTGCTTTGTCTTTTCATGAAATATTTGATTATTCATCAACTGAATAACTAAATGATAAAAGAATCACTAATATTTTGGTGATCATGTCAGTTGAATTCTTGTATGTATGAACTTTCTGAACTTCCACTGTGCCTTGAGCTAGAATATCGTTGATAAAATACAATCTGATATAAATGTGCTTTGTCTTTTCATGAAATATTTGATTATTCATCAACTGAATAACAATCTGACTGTCACTCCATCACTTCCGCCGAGGTGATCGAAAGTAAAACTCTCCGTACACACTGACCCGCTCTGCTAGGGTTTGCTTGTGTAGGCGATTTTGTTCTTCCCTCCTCTCCTTCCCGGCCGCCTCGGCCGTTGCTTCGTCTCCATCTCCGCATGGAGTTGGACGCAGCAAATTTCCCCCCTCTTCCAGGTTCTTCGATCCTTGGTGCAGCTCCGAAGCCCCTTCCTCACTCTTATGCTGACAATCTGGCCAGCCCCTCAGTTAAAATTGTCGATTTCCCGATGTCATTTGTCTCTCCGACCCAAAAGCTCTCCTTCAAGGCAGCGGATTTTTCGGAAGGAGCTACCATCTGGACTCACTCCCTTGTCGGTTATTCGTTAGGGCAACGTCCTTATTACGAGAGACTTCTTGCGGCGATGAACAGAACTTGGTCTCTGAAAGGTTCCTTTTCTCTTCTTTCCATGGCGGATGGCTTTTTCCTCCTCAAATTCACCTCGGCGGAAGATATGGAGATGGTTTTCTCGGGCGGTCCCTGGTTCCTTCTCGGTAAACCCTTCGTTTTGCAGAAATGGAACCCAAAATTTAAGCCAAAAAGGGATGAAGCTGCTCTTATTCCCATTTGGATTAAGATTTTGGATCTTCCACTAGCTTTATGGACACCTTCAGGTATATCTAAAATCGCGAGCTACATTGGTATTCCTTTATCTGTTGATAGCCTCACTGCTAGAAGAACTAGATTGACGTTCGCTAGAGT